GTATTTGTCGTGGGAGTGTCATCGGCGTGCTCGGGAGGTCCCCATAATGACGTCCCCGGGAACCCGGACGACATCGGCACTACCAGATTTGGACTGAGCGTGCGAGAAAATCCCCGAACACGATATTTCAGTCGTCCTGGTCGTTCCGAGGTTGACGGTCGGTCGGTCGGCCAAACCGTATCTTATTTTGACAGCCCCTGCTGCGGCCCGAACAAGTACACTCGGCCGCTCGGCCGTGAGAACGGAATACACGCGACACATATCAGAACCAGGGTAGTCTGGCCAAGGTTTAACCTACTGATTCGGCTGGAACCTCGCTCGTTTCCGATTTGAGAAGTCGGAGAGGAGTCAGACTAAAGCAAACAGCAGGAAGCAAATTCCTTCGTTCATTTAACGGCTCCTTGTGGCTTCATGACACTGGCACCGTCGGCACTGAGTCCCTTGTAGCGTCCCCCAGCGAGTACTGTCGCTGCTGTTGACGGACCAGCTCACTGCTGGGCAATGCCGACGAGGATGAGGGTGTTCTCTGCGCACCCCTGTCGGACTCGAGGGCGAGCTCGTCCCCAGCCTCAGACTCCGCCCTGTCCGACGTGGTGGTGAGCATGTGCAGGATGTCGTCCTCCAGCTCCCCGAGGGACTCGGTCGTGGAGGAGGCCGAGCTGACCGGTCGATCCTCGTCCGGGCTCACGTCCCGGGTGGCACCTCGCTTGCGGAGGCACTCCCCCGTCTCGTCATCGGCCGAGCACTGCACGCAGTGCGCAGCCGCCGCCTCCTCCTCCGGGGCGGATATGACTAGTCCCGGGGGAGGGTCGGTGGGCGCGCTGGAGGGCTCTTCAAGCTGTGATCGCGCACCCGGCACGGACGCGATGTCGCCCGACTGCGCGGTGTACGTGTCCTTGATGAACTCCGAGAGCGCCTTGGTGGTGGCGGTCTGGTGCGGGCTGGACGCCCTTGACGATGATCGCGAGGCACCGTCAGGCGCGACCCCCGCGGCCGCGGGGCTGAGCGGCCGCCACTGCCGCGGAGACAGGAGCTGGAGCGCGGTCGCGGGCGAGGAGCTCGGACCCCAGCCGAGCCGCTCGTCCGAGGCGCCGCGCCGCTGCTCCCAGCTCTGGAGCGAGAAGCTGGCCACGCCGACGACACCCTCCTGCAACAACGAACTACACTGTTAAGCCCGGAAAGAGAAAACGGCCGAACCAAAGTAGTCTTCAGCAATGGCTCACCTCCTTGTTGAGGTCCAGGTCCAAACTGCGTGGACCGTCTGATCGCACGTCGGGGCGCTCCTGGTTCGAGCCGCGCCCGGGCAGCGACCGGCCTCGCGCGGCAGCGGCGTCCAGCACGTCGAGGCTGTCCATGCTCCTGGCGCGTTGAGCCGCTCGGGCGCCACCAAGCCGGCCCTCCACCTAGTAAACCAAACACGGTGTGAGAGGACATTTTAGAAATTAGCCTCGTCGTGAGTCCGTGCTCCTCTTCTCACTTGCTCTTTGCTCCTTTTCTCACCTTGGCCATCCTCTTGAGCAGCTCCATGGTGTGCGCCGGGCTCAGGATCGAGTCGTTGGGGTTGACGGCGGCCTCCTCGTCGTCCTCGGACAGCCCATCCTTTCCCCTCGCCCTGGATCCGGCCCTGGAGCGAGAGGGCGGCAGGGGAGGGGGTCCGTGTGGCTGCGGGGGGCGGGCACGCCGCTTCTTTCGCGGGGGCGGCACGGGGGCAGGGGACGGTGGCGGCGTGGGGAGCGAGGGCAGGGCGGGGCGCACCGCCAGGGCGCCGCCGTCAGACCTGCTCAAATGACGCACAAACAAAATAATGATGGGGCAACCGTCCCCTCGTCAGATATTTTTTTATTTCTCTCGGTTGGTGTTTTATTGTTGTTGTTGAGGAAATACTGTCATCCTTGTGTGTTCACGCTTCAAAGGGAAGCCTTTTTTGTATTTTTTTTAGTGAAAGATTGATGAGTTTCGAGATGGTAGTGTGTGACTTTTTTGTGACAGAAAGTTTTGGCATGGCAAAAACTGGAGTGGGCAAACGGACGGCAGAGAGGAGGCCCGCTAAGCGTGCGTGTACGTTGGGTTGCCTAGGCAGTGGGCGCCCGACCCTATCTGCCCATCCAACACCATTCATAGTACAATTTATACTCACGTAAATGCTGGGTTGTGAACGCCATTGGCTGAGAAGGCCTTCTCGGGAACCACGAGGTGTTGCCTAATGAACGGCTCACGATTAAACTGAAAGCGGAATAAACAAAAACAAAAGTTAAAGCACATGTGCTGGCGAATGTAAGTACCGAATTGAGTCAGAGAAGTCAGAGTAAAAGGAAAATATTTTGCACTACAGTACACAGTCGTGTTGAGGAACGCGGGGAGTTTTGGGACTCTGTGTATCCGCGAACTGCGCGCTTCCGTACTTTCACGTCGGCGCCAACAACGGCCGTCTGAGTGGAATGAAATTATACTGCGGGTGAAGCAGGGTGTTTCATGTCGCCAGCAGCACGCTGGACTGTGGCTGCCATGCTGGCCCTGCCATGCTGGCCCTGCCATGCTGGCCCTGCCATGCTGGCCCTGCCATGCTGGCCCTGCCATGCTGGCCGTCAGCGGCGACAGGAACAGCCTGCGACAGCCCTCTGGCAAGAGAATAAATAAGTGGTGCCAATCCACCCCCTGCCGAACACCCCCCCCCCTTCTCCCAACCCCTTCACCACCTATCACTCGCTCCCCGGCCCCGGCCCTTTCGATCATGGACCAAAGGGCGAAAAGAGTGAGCGCATGTGTGTGGTTATTTTTATTTTTCCTTTCAAGAGAGAAGTTCGCATGATTTGAACGGCGCGGCGCGGAGGTCTGGTGTGGTGGTCAGGCGTGTGACTCGTTCCGCCGCCGACAGGGAAACGTGGGGCACAGTATAGCTGCCTAGTTGTTGTTCCGAGTGTCCGATGTTCGACCCGCAACGTGGGAATCAGTGGGAATGGTCTCGCGGACCAGGATGGACGTGGGGGGGGGGGGTTGCGTCACGGGTTCGCAAGGCCGAGCAGTAGGCGGCGTTCGCCTGCAGGACACTGGAGTGGCCCTGCACCGACTCAGCTCCTACGGGCTTCACCTACACCAGGACCAGGTCTTAATTATTTCCAAAACTTCATTGATTGGTGCCTTAAAGGAACAAATGCACTCATTAGAGATGAATTTGGAGTTGATTTTTTTGCAGGTAAAGTTTTTAACCTACATATTGATTGGCAGGCAATCCTGGGCTCTGTCCTATCCGCGCCCGCCCTGGTCAAGACGACCGAGGCGACAGAGGTTGATTGAAATGTGATTGGAAAACGGTTGGGGAAGAAGAGGGAGAGTATGGTGAGGGTCGTACAGTTAGGTACTGTACTCAGAGGAAGTAGTTGCCGCGTCAACACGGCGCGTTATGGTCGCAGGCTCGTGCTCGTGACCGGAGCGAATGGGTCGAAGCCCTCGCGGCAAAGTGTACTGTATCGCGCGCGGCATAGGGCGCCCGCGGACGCGGCCCGCCAGCGCAAGTTCCGCGAGCCCCACCGTCCCCCGTGCCCCGGCAGCCCCGCCAGCCCCAACAGCACCGCCAGCCGGCCCCGCCAGCAGGCCCCGCCAGCACCGATAGCCCCGACAGCCCCGCCATCCCCGCCTTCTTCTGCGCCTACCTTCCCGCACCTCCGCGCGCTGATTGAGCGAGCAGCCCGCGGGAATGAGAAGTTGGAGAGAAGGTTGTTGGGACGGCGACAAGCACTGCGACGACAGCACGGCGGAGGGGCGTTCAGCTGGTGG